TCGAGAAGATTAGATTTGAAGCTCATCATCTTATTGCCTTTCGGAGATATAGGCGATTCGTGTGGCATGTTCACTAAGTTGTCACTTATATATTACCTAGGTGACTTTGTCAAGGAAGTTACTAATCGGGACTCGGATAGAATAAGAAGTTACCTTATACTGCTGATCACGACAAGACGATTTAATCGACACTAAACTGTGCGTGTCCGGATTGACACGTGTAGAAACTATCAGTGCTATCGCTGTTGTCGTCGTTGCTGTTAGAAACAGCGGGGTAGCGCACTTGATGGTTGTAACGCTAAGTAGAACGCTGACATTTATGACTGAAGCGTCTTTCGTCCGCTCGATCGGACACATTTGAGACCTACTGTTTGTCCTGTTGCTGTGGCACGCCATTTAATAGCAATATGTCCGAATGCGAGCGTACGTCACTAAATGTCTTGAGGGATCCGCTAGATGAACAGCGCATGCTCTATCGGATTGTATCCCGTACGAACTCATCTGATCTTTGGGGATTTGTCATGTGCAGCACTTCACGGATGATAGAGAAGGGTCCGTTCATCTGCCCAACATGAGCGACCACATGAAGGGAGAGTAAGTATAAGGAGCCAAGTAGAAAGGACAAAATAGAGATATGCCTCTGTGTAGTGCTGATTCACCCGCGAAAAGTATACACAGACGGTCGAATAAATGTCCCTGATCTCGCTGAGTCCCTGATCAAATACGATACCTACAGTACGGAACGAATTATCGCCCCTAAACGAAATATCTAAAGGGTTCGTGTGGATCCAGTTACAAAAAACCTTAAACGCTTTTGCACAAATAGATTAGCCGAATGTGACATATGCAAAGCTTTTCAGATAGCGTATATGATTTGATAAACCCTGTGTTTAGTAAGTAGGCACTGACAGAGTCCGTATTAACAAAGTAGATAACAAGCTGGGAAAAAGCTGCTCGTTTCTCATCTAATTTTAAAGCTTGTTAGCCTTAAATTGCCCCGTCCCGCTGAATGAGCATCCTGAATGAGCGATCATCAGGTAGCTTTCTGCGTGGCGATTCTCCATGCGGCTTTTTGCCCTGTTCTAGCGTTTCTGTGATCTACTGAATCTTTCAGCATAACAATTTGATAGAAGACAGCTCTTGGCTTTTTTTTTTTTATGTCGTACGCGTCACGGGACAACGAGCGCTTCTTTTCCGCGGTTATGAGGTATCAAATTAAGCAAACAACAAAAACAAGCCACTCGCCTTAGTCCTTCCACTGTTCTTCGAACCGTCTTGCGGGCTTCTAACTTTTGATGCAAAAAAAAAGACCTCCAACAGATTGACTTGGTGAAGATTTGATTTTACTCTTCTACGGCATAAACAGGCATAAACTGACTAGCAATAAACATTTAGATTCAATAATGGTTTAAGTATATTTAGAAATTACAAAAAACGTAAGCATTCTCTCATTTTATGTATATATATATG